GGACCAGGTGATCAGAGATATATCCGTGCATTTATATTTATCCCTCGCCAGGCTAAAGCTGTATCCCTCTGAACACATGGATAAAGGTCAGACCTACCTGGAAATCGTCCGCATATGGTGCAGAGACTATCTCAGTTTCTATTTTTAGAAGGGGCTTTCCAGACTTTACGGTATAGGATTTTTTTATTTACAATGTTATTATTAAGAGTAATGAATGTTATTGAGAATTCAAGGTGTTCAAATACTCCTTAATGATTCGCTAAAATAGTAAAGATAATGAATGATCATGAGTTATTCTGACGAATGAGTAGAAGCCCAGACACTTCTGTCTCTTAAAGCAAAAATCCATTGTAGCTTCTATCATTATTTTGAATTAAAATTCTTTTTGAACCGTTTTAAGTTAATTAATAAATAAAATATCAGATAAAGAAATAAATATATAAAAAAAAAATAATAAATGAAATAAATGGTTGTTACACGGTGATTCATTTTGCGTAATCATAATAGTTAATATTAATCTTAACCTTAATATCAACATATTAATATTAACAAAAATCATATTATCATTTTCTTTTAGTGCAACAAATATTAAAAACCGCAATTCTAAACTCTTTTAATAACTCTCGGATTGTTAAATATAATTTTCTCACTTCTTTTCAATAAAAACCATGTATACTAACAATAAAAACAAAAGTACGCGTTTTTCCTCAAACGAAGGTAAAAATCTTTAATTTAAAATACCCACGGATAATAATAAATAGAATACTAATAATCGATGTATCGAATAAGGTTTGGGAAAAACTAGTGCAGCGGTGGGAAATCACACGAAATGCAATCACCATAAAAATACTTATAACAACCGCAACAACAACAATAATAAATGTAATACGAGTAACTTGACTAAAATAATTCGGAAACAGGAATCAAGACATCCTCCATCTGGATTTGGACAACCATCATTACCGTCAGCACTAACATTACAACCAAATATAAATCCGCCCTATAACTTACCATCAGTAGATTATTGTTTCTCGATTAAACAACAAATTCAACAAGAACAACGACAACAACACAAAGTAGTGGATATGTCGAAAATAATGACTGGGCCAAGTATAAGTAATCCAGATTCCATAAATGAAAATGTGATAACTGAAAACTCATCACTACCAAATAATTCATTTGGATATGTCGGCTATTATAGCGCTGAAACAGCAAGATCGAGAAGATATGATGATCGCTGGTATTCAAAATTAGGAAATATTTGTTGTTTTCCATCGCAAAATTGCAACATAATTTCTTATATAAAAGAGCTCAAAAACGTGATGACAAAACCACCATTATACCGTTACGTTTTCATGTTTGTACCATTAAATATCATACATGGGGTAGCTTTTGGTAATTATAATAACATTAGTATATTGAAAGTGTATATCAGTAAGAGTTTAAATATATAAACTTGCTAATTTAAAAATTAGGTATTATATTATTTCCTGCCCGTGATCGCTATGACAATAGTAATCAGAAATTATTTGGTGCTTATAAATATGTTGGAATGATGATGTTTTTTACGAGGTAGGTTATATCATAAGTGATCAACTTTAATTTATTTAATTTATTTATTTATTGGCTAATGATCCTTTACCAACAAAGTTGTATTATTTCGAAAGTCGTAAATTCAATTTTTGGTAGCCTTCAAGGAGGAAATACAATGATAATACAATGCAAGTATTTTTAGAAAAACATTTAGAGATCAAAGTTATTCATAATTAATAAGTAATCTTTTCATCTTTTTTTTAAATAATAGTAATACCATTTTTACATTTGATGTAAGTAAATATTCCAACAACTACTACATTTTTTTTGTATTTTAATTAATAATATTTTTGCTTAAAAAAAAGAGCGGAAATAATTGAAAATCATGCATCGGCAAACCTATATGTTAAATATGATGTGGTTTACACAATAATATTTGCTTATGCTATAAGTGCTATACTAACTGGTGTTGGACTTTTATTATTTGTACAATTCAAGGTAATCTATCATTATGTATGTTATTTATAATGATATATTAATAATAATCAATATCTAATAAAAAAATTCTAGTTTCGTTTCTTTTTGGATATTTTCCCAAGACACATTTATAACGGAGTACTTGGTGGTATTGGAATTTACTTGATATGTACTGCTATAAAGATTTCAGTGCCAAATTCTTTTAAATATGGCTACAAACCATTATTGAAAATAGTATTCTTTCATAAGAACAATTTTTTGTTATGTAGTTTATCATTTGTTTTGGCATCAGGACTTGTAGTCTTTATTAGATACAAAGATAAAAAAAACAATGTTCTGGTCACCACTTTAAGTTTTTTATCAATTTTCTTGGGCTTCTACCTAATAACATATTTTTGGAGTGTTCCTTTGGAATCTTTGATTGAAGATGGTTGGAAATTTGCTTTAGTTGATCAAATCACAATGTCTGTATTCTACTCTAATTTTCGTAAGTATGAGTATACATAATCTGCTTACTGATTTATTTATATATAATATATTAATTTATAAACAATATATAGATTTTAGATTAATTAGTTGGGAAGCAATAGGAGAAACCATCCCTACAATGTTTACCCTCACATTTTTTGCAATGTTGAGTGCCCATGTAAAGATTAGCAAATTGAAGGTTTCAATTGATGATCATAAACTAAATATAGATCATAAGTTGTTTGTTCAAGGAGTTTCTAATTTAATTTCAGGAATTCTTGGACATTTTCAAGGTTAGAATAGAACTATTATTATTATTTATTTATTTATTTATTTAGTGAAAATCATATTAATACCAATACTGCTAATAACTCAACATAGTTTTCTTTGAGTATGAAGAATCAATTTTATTGATTAAATTGGGAGTAAATAATCATGTTGCAGGATTGATACTTGCATTTTTGCTTGGTATAACAGTATATTTTGGACAAATATTCATCAACTACATTCCTACAATAGTCATAGTCACAATTATCATTTACTTGGGACTGGAGCTGATAGGAGAAGCATTGATAGATCCATGGAAGTTTTCC